ACAAAAAAAAAAAAAAAACAATAGATAACAGGACAATAACAAAGTCCTTAATAAAACTTAGCTTCCTATAGAGCAAAAAAAGAGAAAGAAACTTGTACATAAATGTGTACCAAAACATAAACAAAATTCCCAAAAGCAGGATGAACACACAAGGAGGTAAACATTCTATTCTTTAGCAAAACCATACATCACAAAGTCACCGGTGCCATCATAAAAAAACCATGCCTAAACAGACACAAATGCAGAAAAAAGATTTAAGTTCATGTTTCTTTTATAAAAATTGATTAAAGTAAAAAAAATAAAAAATTATTTTTTAAAATGGTGAATAAAAATATAAGAAAAAAAGAAACGAAAACACCAAATAAAAGAAAAAAGCAATGAAATCCAAGAGGTTTTGAAAGCTGTTGCTAGGTTTTTTCTTACTGATTTACTTTGTTTTACATCCAGCAAAGTAAAAGTAATTCTATACCCTCAATTCTTCTTCCAAGCACACCACAAAGTGCTGTGAGCAAGAAAAAGAAGAACAGAGATGGGTTTGACATGTACAAACCTCTTTAGCAGGCTTTTTGCTAAGAAGGAGATGCGTGCTTTGATGATAGGTCTTGACGCTGTTGGTAAAATCACTATTTTGTACAAGCTCAAGCATGATGAAAAAGAAGAAGAAGCTATGATCACTTGTATGAGAATCGTTTTTAGAAGAAGAAGAAGAAACATGATACACTCGAGCATTTCGCTTATTGATTAGTACATGTGAAGATCGATTGAGAAAAAAAGAAAATTTTAACTTTACATTCACAGAAGGAATGATATTCCTTTTACACCTTGCAATCACTTTACAATGGAAAGCCTTTCTCATGGTTTTTTTGCAAATCAAATATTGTAAACACACCATAACCAATTAAAATACAAAAAATCTTTTTATACCATACCAGATGCCTTTTAATAAAGAAGTTAGCTACTTATGCTGTTAGTAAAAGTGTAATACAAATAATAAATATTGACATTTTAAAAAATAACCCTTAAAAATAAAGTGTTTTAAAAAATAGCCTCCTTTATAATTTTAACTATTTTTAATCAAGTTGGATAAAATTACCTTTAATGAAATTACACGCTATGATGTTACACACCATGTACAAAAACATGTTATACGTCATATATAAAAACATGTGATACATCATGATTTGGTTATTACATGCCATGGTTAGGTTGTTACACGTCATATACAAAAACATGTGATATATCATGGTTAGATTGTTACACGCCATGGTTAAGTTGTTACACGCCATGTATAAAAATATGTTACATGTCATGGTTAAGTTGTTACACGCCATGTTAAAAAAAATACTGTTGTTACATGCTATGTACAAAAATATGTTACATGCCATAGTTAAAAAATGTTATTACACGCCATGTTGAAAAAAAAATACTATCATTACACGTCATGTTGAAAAAATATTATTGTTATACGCCATATTCAAAAACATTTTGTTACACTTTAATGCCTAAAATGTTGTTGTTACTTACAAACTAAAACTTCAAATCCTCTTAACTCTTTTTTTTTATTTCTTTGACAGTTTGACACCGATTAAAGTGTTTCTAATATGTTTTTATAAATCAAAACACAAATTTCCTATCTAAAACACTTATTTTGACTAAAAATTGAAAAAAAATTTATTTAAAATCTAGTTTTATAAATTTTAAAATTTTGAATTTATTGGTGTCTAGATCTCGAATTGATCCAATTAAAAGCTATTTCAAACTTCTGTGATAATTTTTACTGTGTAGTTTTATCCAAAATACCTAAAAATTAAATTCTCCAAAATAGCCATCTAGTCAAGCACATCAAAACCATCACTTGGTGTCTTCAAAGTGCTGAAAAGAGAAATCTGAAAGTGCGAGAGAGAAATCGGGAGTATAGTAGACAAATGTCGAAGAGAGAAATCGATAAAATTAAAGAGAGTGGGATGTTGAGAGAGAGAAATCGGAAGTAGAAATGGAGAGAAATTATGATAATTAGTTTAATTGATTTGAAATAGTTTTAAGAGTATTTTTGTCAAGTCATAGCTAAATATGATTAAAAATAATTAAATTTATTTTGATAGTTATTTGTAAAATGCACTTATCAAAAAAAGTTATTCCTCACAATCTTCTCTAATAAATAATGAACAATAATGTAAAAAAAAAATTTAACTATTTACAATAGTAAAATAAAAAAAATAACTATAATAAAATAAAAATATTATTTAACTTATAAAATAAATTTTATACTTTTCGTCGATAAATCAAATATTCAGCTATAATATTATTATATATTTTTGTCCCTAATCTGGAAAAGGGGCAATGAGAGTCCACTTGACAACTGGGCATGAATTTGGCAGCCCAAGTGTAAAAGAATAAATAGAGTAAAAAGTTGAATAGCGGGAAAGGGGACCTCCGCCTCATAAATTAAAAAGGGGAAGAGGGGAGGGAGAAACAAATTTTAATTACTTCGTTAAATACTTCCTTTTAATTTGCTGTAAACATTTCATTTGTATTTGCACTTGAAGATCTTTCCTTGCCCATCTCTTTTTTCTAGGGTTTTGGTCATTTTTCTTTTCCGTTTTTGAGTTGTGAAATTATGAGAAGCGTGAAGGAAGAAAAACGAGCAGATAAAGCCAATGAAGAAGCTAAACCGCTTCGAACCAGGGTGGCGAGACCTGCCCGACATGACTCGGCGGATGTTGAGTCGGATCAGCTCAGTCGGCAAGAGGATGCGGCCAACCGGAGACTTCTTCGCTCCAAATACCTTGCCGTGATGACCAAAATCAACGGTTATCTGTTTATTTCTTCTCTCCTTTTTTTTTTCCTTTTACAAAAAAAGGAGAAAACTTTTCTATACAAATTATTTATTTATTTATTTGGCTTTTCAGTTTGTAATTAATTAATTTTTCATTTGAATTTTGGGTGATGCAGATGCAAGGGATGAAATATCGAAGGTTGATTCTAATAAATTTAACATCATCATTAATGAAGTCGACAACTTGCATCAACAAGGTTTCCTTTTGTTTTTCTCTTTAATATTTCAGAGATTTATTATCAATTATTTGTATGCCCTTTTGAAATTCTTTAATAGCTGTTATAAAAAATTTTAAATTTTAAATTTTCAACATTTTTGTTTATCTAATTACGGTTTTTTTGTCCTTCTAAGTTTTAATAATCTGTCCTATCCATTTTTAACTAATTGAGGGAGTAAAGTCAGTTAGTTTATGATATTCATCATTCTGGTTTTCAAGACTTTAACTTAACTATTTAATAATGTTGGGTTGTCTTAGATTTTGGTTTGGAAATCGTTTTACTCATTTTTGTGCATGAAGAAATTTATTTATGTGAATGAATTTTGTTATTTCCCATTTGGGGTTTTAGTGTCGAAGCCGCGAGAACAAGTAGCAGATGCAGAGGCATTGTTGGACATAGCTAACACATTGGCAACTTCTGTCAAGTCAATCTCTTGTGAGGGAATTAGCCTAGCAGACTATGTCAATTGTTTAGTTAGAGAGTTTGGGAAGTCCAACAGGAGCCTCGACACACAAGAAAATGAGCAGATATCGATCAATTGGAAAGATATTGGGATGGCTGTTTCACCATTCTTTACAACTTGCAAAGGAATTTGCACCATGTTAGTTTTTTTATGGATACCCTTTGAGTTTTCCCTTTCTGATCTTTAATGACTTGGACTTGCTGTATTTTTCTGAATTTATTTTGTGTTATTGATCTTTAGGCTTGGTCCTATGAAGAATGAGTTAAAGCAAAGGAAGTCTATCGTTACTAGAAAGCGTGCTATTAGACCAACTGATACTGCTAGGCCTGAAGAGGTGAAATTGCCTTTCTATAATCTTCAGTTTTGAAGCATGGTTAAGAGTACAGCTGTGGAATCAAAACTGAGAAAATTGAAAAACCTAATCAAACCATTGTGTTTATTTTGGTTTGGTTTTCCGGCATTCTCAGCTCAATTTTGGTTTAAATGATAATTTAATGATATTTTATTCAGTTTGCTTTGTAACTCTGACACTTAAAAACTGAGATAGCTCAATCCTAACTTAATTAGCTTTAATTTTATTAATTTAAAATATTTAAAATTGTGAAATAAAAATATTGGCATTTTATTTTAGTCTAACTAGGTAAATTCAAAAAAATTTCTTTTATATATAAAAAACTGAGTAATTGAACTGAACAAAATTTGGTTTGATCTATTCTTTTCTTCATTTAAAAATTCAATACTTCGATTTGATGTAAAATTTTCTCAAAACTGAGCCAAGCTGAACTGAATATACTCATAGTTAAGAAAATGACAAGAAAGTCGTATAGATGGTTTTTATATTGGTACCAAGTAACTTGGTACTAGTCATATAGCATGGCGTTATTGTGTTTTTAAGGTAACATAGTGATACATTTTTGGCTTCATGATCATTAATTTGTTTAATTACTTCTCTTCTGTTTTGATCCTTTCCATCAGAATATCCAAATTTTCTTTTCTTGGTTGATTTTCTATTTTAATGATGCTTACTGATGCCATTATAAATAAATTGAAGTTTAAGTTTACAACTGCCTGTCCAGCACTTTTATCCTGATGTGTATTTTTTTGTTGTGTGGTTGCATCTTGCACTGTGGGATGGCTGTGATGAAATAATTGATGCATAAATGATTGTACCATAAGCTTAATGATCATAAAATTATGTTTTATCTATCATGCTCTTTTAACAATAATTGTTTACAACTTTATATATATTCATTGTCCTGTTCAATAGGTTGATGATGCTGGTGCTGAAGAGAAAACTGATACTGACAAAAATATGGCAACGATGTTTGAAATCTTAAGGAGAAAGAGACAAGTGAAACTTGAAAGTTTGATTTTGAATAGAAGCTCTTTTGCACAGACTGTGGAGAATTTATTTGCTCTTTCCTTCTTAGTCAAAGATGGGAGAGCAGAAATTGTTGTGGATAAATCTGGCTCTCATATTGTTTGTAAGTATATTTCAAGACAATTAATTTGTAACTTAACAGAAATTTTTGTTTGCGTTTTACATCGGTTATGCTATTGGCTCATTTATTGTTTTCTTTCAGCGCCCAAAAATGCTCCTGGTACTATGTCTGTAACAACCGGCGAGGTTACTTACAGCCATTTTGTGTTTAGGTTTGATTTTAAGGACTGGAAGGTATGGAATGTGCTCTTGTTGCTTCAAACTTAATTAAGATATTGCAAAATACTGAAGAGCATTATGGTCTATGCTTTTGCTTTTAGCACTTATTGAAATAAACTATTATCGTCGTTATATAGTGTTTTCTAGGTTAATTTGTTTCTTTCTAATTCCAAGTTTGAATGGAACTGACTTTTAGTTAATGATGAATGTGGTACCTGTTGCTGAGGAGCTAATGCCACATAGGGAAGGTTCTACAGAATAGTGTAGGGTTCTCTTTGATATTCTTTAAGATTCATGGTGAAACAGTCTTGCTGTTCAAACAATATTAGATGCTTGTTTTAACAACAAACAATTTAGTTGCTAGCGTAGGTAGGCTAATTTGTTTTACCTTCTAATCTGAATATTTTAATGAATGGAATTTTAGTTAATGATGAGCGGGGTGCCAGTTGGAGAAGAGTTGATGCCTCACCGGGAAGAATCACACTCAATTCTTTCCAAGGCAGAATCAGCTGCAAACAGCTCAGAAGGAGCACAGACTACAACACCAATCCGAAAATTATCTAGGAACCGAGGGTTGGTTTTGCAAGAATCCATTGTAGAAGACTCGCCTGAAATTGATGATGCTAGCAAAGGCCCTGGCATTCGCAGGTGTAGGCGTAAGCTCAATTGATGAGTGGCCTTTTCTTTTTTTAAAATCACATACTGTACAACTATTTTGAATGTTGTGATGTACATAGGAGTAGGTCAAAGACCACATTGCCAGTTGCTAAATTTTGTGCTAGTATATTCCTCTGGCAATGGGCGCTTTGGCCGACTTTGATTGATCTATGTTAGGGCAGAATCATTTTGGATTCTAGATAAATGAATACATTTTCTCTAACTTTCTTATGCTGTGGACAAACTTATTTGATTAATGGACTCCACTTATGCATTGTAGTTACCAGCTTCTGCACGTTCTCTGATTACCATGATCTTTTTGAGAATTATTTTCAACATAAATTATTTCAAAACAATTTTCAAGTAACACGTTAGCCATTAACTTTTTGTTATCGCAATTCTTAAAATCAATGTTGAACTGGGCTTGGTGGCATCAATGGTATAAGGTTTTCTAATTTTAACATTAGTAAATGCATTAAATCTTATGGGCCGGTGAGTTTAAAGCCTCTTCCGATTCGAGTTATTGACTTCAGTTGAATCAAGTTCAAGTTCAAACATGAGCGGCTGTTTAATCAGCAATGCGGCAATCGATTCATTAATGGAAATTGTCCACTCAAAAAAGCTTAATCAGGATTTGGCAGAACACTATTGTGAGACAACTCAGTCATGCTAAGGCAGTCTCTATCCAGAAAACTTGAAAATTTGAAGAAAATAAACCAGGCAAGACAAAATCTCATAGGTATAAAGAGGCCGCCAATCAAACATCCTAAGATGCATTACCAACAAGAAAGAGCTAAACTAAACATTCAGGCATGACATTTGCTATCAACCTCCTGGTATCTACTCCTAATGCTTGTCGCTTGGAATGTTGAGGTCTTTAAATATAGGACTGTCAACTCCAACACCCATTGCATTCAGACCGTTGTCTACATATATGACAGCACCTGTGATAGCTGAAGCCAAAGGTGATGCCAAGAAAGCAGCGGCGTTCCCCACCTCATCTGTTTCACCAATTTCATTAATTCCGTAATCATGATTTTTAATGAAAAACACTTAAGATCTTAGTAGTTCCTCCAAATCACCTGCAGATAGTTCTTTCTGGAGAGGTGCATTAGCCATTGAATATTCAATCATTGTATCAATAAATCCAATTGCCTTTGCAGCGCGACTTCTTAGAGGACCTGTTCACCAGAAACAGAAACTTAATGATGGGGTAGTGCAAGGGTATGATATTCAAGAAGGAACGATCTCCACCGACATCCTCAAGTCCAGCCTCAGAATATAACTAAAGTAGCATCTTAAAGTGAAATTTTCTAGAAGAGGTGAGCCTTCAGTGATGTTAATACTATGTAGCACCGGGCAAAAGAATGTGGCAATGGTCTAAAAGTTTAAAGAAAGGACTTGATTTGAATTACGAAGTATAGTGATTCTGATATTAAAAGAAATATAATTCTCAGGTTCACTGACAAGAAATCTCTCTCCTCTAATATTAAAAGAATGCTAAAAAAGGATCAGAGCAAGAGGCACACGTACCCGCAGATATTGTGTTGACCCTAATTTTGTTTTTTCTTCCTGCTTCAAAAGCAAGTACCTGAAAATGAATCCAGAAACATAAATATGCTAACTTTAAGAAAACTAATGGGCATCAAGTCAAGAGGTAGATAAGTTGAAAACAAATTAGAACTCACTCTTGTATCACTTTCTAGAGCAGCTTTAGCAGAACTCATACCTCCACCATAACTGCATATCACATTGTTCGAGACTTTTGTCACTTAATGAGAAATACAGACTATTTTTTTGGAATATTGAGAAAACAAGGATAGCAAACATACCCTGGAATTATTCGCTCAGAAGCAATGTATGTAAGAGAAATTGAAGAGCCTCCTGCATCAGCAATAGCTTGTTTCAGAAACATATCTTTGGGCACTAAGTGTATTATTTAAAAGAGACAGAACAGGTACAATGAACAAAACTATAGACCAAAACCTACAAAAGACATGCCTGGTTTCATTAATGGGAGAAAATGCTTGAGTAAAGAAACATAGGAGTAACTTGAAGCAGATAAAGCAGCAAGATATCCATTCCGGGATGTCTCCAGCAGGGGTTTACTGACCTGTTAACATATAGTTGCCTGTTAAGAAGAAAGAATAAAGCTAAAACAAATTATCAATTGCAAGCTCGGAACTCCTATACCTCTGGCCCATTAGCTAGGGAATGCACAAGGATGTCAATGCTGCCAAAATCCTGTTTAACAGATTCAGCAACTTCCTGCAACTCATAGGAAGTAACATAACATGAAAATCATGTATACGTTGATAATCTTATCCAGTAAGTATTTAACTTCTTGAAAGGGATTAATTATATTATCATTTCCTAGAACTGTGATAGACTATCCAAATGAGAGCTCAAATTTACTATAAAAGTTCCTATTCATGAACTTCTAGCAGGTATGTTAGTACATACCTGAACAGTCCAATTTGAGGATCCTGCATAGCGCTTATTGGTTTTTATCTGCACATAACAACCAAGATCAAAAAAGTTTACAAAGATAATTGGACTTGTCAACATGTTCAATCTCCAGAGAATCCGTAAACTTATCCATTACATCTTCAGGTACAGCATCAAGGTTGTCAAAGACTGCATCTAGGGGATATACTTTGGTAATCTCCATTAAAGAGCCATCTGGCAATCTGAAATATCAACTTCTGTCAGAAAAAGCCATTAATTCAGGAACTATTTACAATGTTGTAACATAAACCAGCTCTTACATGCGTGATTCATCAAACTTTCCACGTCTCAAGCTGGTTTCAAATATGTTCAAAGCCTAAAAGGGAACTTCCTTGTCAGCATGTTGGCAATTTCTTTAAGACCTGCGAAAGCTTAGATAAGGTCTACGATGGTCATATTTACTTACAGGCACCCACGTTCCCACTAGAATTTCAGCACCTGCAGCAGCAAGGGATTTTGCTATTGCCCAGCCATATCCATTATCATCAGCTACACCAGCAATAAATGCCCTTTTACCTGCAGAAAGCAGAACTCCGAGTGTACACAAAATTTAAAAAAGAAATAAATTGTCTTAAACTATTAAGGAAATAAAAGAGCTTGGTGGAAGTCCATGGAAAGTAGTATTCGAGCTTTCTAAACAGCATTACAACGTAACCAAAACACACAACAACAATAAGGTCAAGGAGAGATGTTACTAGAGACATCTTTCCTTGTAAAAAATGTTTCTACTAAAACTTTTGGATGAGAATAGGAGGCACTGTATGAGGTCAGATTAAGGAAACAACAAAGCTTTGTAAGCAACTAAGAAGTATTATGGAAAGCAAGTAAAACCTTTCAAGTCAATTGCCAACCCAGAAACGGGCTTCTTTTCACTAGATTCAGACATTGCCTTTGTCACAACCTTTTTGAACTTTGCTGGAGATGATGTAAAACTGCGTCGGAAAGGCTCTAAAGATGATATATTGCAAGCACTTGTGAGCTTATTCCATGACATACTTTTAGAATTGGCACCTAGAATGGAAACACCTGCCTCAACAACCCTGTGAGGAGACGAAATGCAGGGTCTTGCTGTTGCTATTTGAAGGCTGGAAGCTGCTGTTGCTGCCATCCTCAAAAAGTTATATTTCACAGCAGAAAGTAAAAATCTGTTCAGAGAAAAATGAATCAGGACTCGATCAAAATAAATACATACAAAGCATGCACAGTTGCACACATTATGCTACAAAGAAACAATTTTGAATCTAGGATTTATTTTTCAATGGACTAAAATATTCTGTCCAATCTATTGAGAGTAAAAAAAAAATGGTTAATTATCTAAATTTTGATAAAATTAAACAGTTTTGAATCTTGAATTTCATTTACATAGATTAAAATATTCTGACCAACCTATTTTGAGTGAAAAAATGGTTAACCATCTAAATTTTGGTAAAATGAAAGCTATCGATGCTATTAAGCCCCTTATATTATAAATTAGAAGTTGGAAATGAATTAGAATTTAGTTTTCACAAAATGAAATTATTGTAACAACAGGAAATTATGCCGATAACTTTAGATGATTTAGAGACTGATTTCCTTCAGTGCAGTTGCATAAAGTAACAAGAATAGTTGTTAAGACCCAAGATTTAATCTACTTTCTCAGATATCAAACACTAAAAATTAACCACACAGCTTTCCAGGAAAAAAAACAATGAATACGCACCACATTATCTTAAGCTTACTAAATTGAATGCAGGTTCAAGAATATATTTCATTTAGCTTTTCTACTGTAGAATTTCTCATAAACTAAACTGTAAAATTCAGTCATCCATCAACATAACCTATTTAATTCATGTAAAGCTAATACTGTAAGATAATGGGTATGAAATGTTCTTCAATAAACCTAAACAAAGAAACCCCTCAAATTTTCAAATAAACATGAAATTAACCCATTAACGCTTATTTCTTTTCATTATCACTAGAAACACATGCATTCAGCCTCAAAATTCAACCGCAACTACGAATCTGAAACCGCATTTAGCATTATCAAGAACAAATGAAAAACAGCGGAAAAAAGAAAAAAAACCCACGTCAGTAAAACACGAAAGCTTTCACATTTTGAGACCCATCTGCATATACAACATTAATACGGAGACAAGTATAGGGAAAGAGAAAGATACCTATGATTGACAGACAGAGCCAATGCGGAGACTGAAGAAGAAGAGAGAGAACACGAGGAGAAGAAAATCTTGAGGGAGTTCAATGAGATCGAGCTGTTTTCACAAAGGAATTTGCTTTGTTGTGCTTCTCTGCAGCTAAGCCAAGCAAAAGTGTGTCGAAAGTGTGACGGAAAAGGCCAATGCAAAGGCCGATCAGTCGAACAATTATACCAACACAGACTCAATGTCGCTTTTTGCTGTTCACTTACTGCTCGTTTTTTACTTTTCACTGAGAGAAAGAGAGTTCGAAAGTTCACTTAAATAAGAGGTTTTTTTTTTTTATTTAAGTTTAAAGAAGCTTTCATCTAAAAAAAATAATTTGAAGAAAAAAAAATTCTTTTCTTATGAGCTTATCATTGGGATAAAAAATCAAACTTCATAAAACCCAGATATAAATTTATTGAGTTTTACTTGAAGTTTTGAATTCGGAGGAAAGGGTTTTAATCCTATTTAAAGTTAATTAGAAAATTAATGATTTTCATAAGAAAAATTATATATATTTAGCAGCTAATCATATGCCTTGTATATTAATATTTTAAATAAAAAATAATTAATATTTCAATTATATATAGTTGACATTTTGTAATATTAATTTATAAATTATTCAATACTAGTAGAATTAAGAGAAACATGGGTAAAGATCATCTTGTGTGTGACCTCAAAGGATTTATTTATGGGATTAAACAAGTTTTTGGTTAGTGATCACCCCTTTTGATTTTGTTGAGAACAAGTTACATAAATACATATATCTCAAGATCTATGGGAGTAAATTTATCTTTTTTATTTTGTATTGTGATGATATCTAGTTTGCAAATAGTGATTTGAGCATGCTATGAGAAACTAAAAAGTCATTGTCTAGGTAGTTTGACATGAAAGATCCTGGGTAACTATCTTATCACCACAAAAAATTCAAGCTTCATCGATGAAAAATTTTATTGGTAAAGCGGTATAATCTATTGGTATTCCAAATTACCAATGAAAATATCAATAAAAAAATTTGTCGGCATGTGAACAGAAATACTCTCATCGATAATGGCTACTTTGTCAGTGATGGAATAATATGTTGAAATATTCTTTGACGGTATATTCCATCAACCTTTTTATCGAGAAAATACCGAATTCGTCTGGTGTAGGTCTTGTCGATGATATAACTAATCTATCAAAAAATTCTGCTAGTAAAACACCGATAGAAGTTATTGACAGAATAGTTGACGGATTGAATGTAGACCTCATCATCAGGTTCTATTGGTAAAAAGTGTGAATCCGTCGATGTTTGTCATAACGGGTGAGTTTGTAAACTCAACCATTCAACGCGAAAGAGGAGTCGCTATCAATCTTTTTTATTTAGGTGTGATTGGTCACCTAAGTGAATTTATACTTTTTAATGAGGTCTTAATCTTGAGTTAGATTCATTTATGTCACATCTCGTTTTATGGAGGAATATGACTGGTGCATAGACTTGAATAGGTATAGTCCACTAGACCCAAGCAAGCCTTTTTACATTCATTGATTCATTCATAACTTGACCCATTAGTCATAATCATCATCCATAAAGCCATATATTATCAAACACCTACATGCTACCATAGGCAACATTACACAGTTATGGAACTTCTCAACATAAACCATGTAAGTGCATTCATTCATTAATAAAATTAGAGTTAAAAACTCATACATCATGCCTTAATCATTCATCAACACCATCGAGTGTCCATATAAGCTTTTAAGTCACATTTGCACATTTATCCATAACATTTATAAAGTAAATTTCCAATCATTGGCTACTGATAACTCTATGATATGGAGTTATTTAGACTTAATTTTAACAGGAATTTAGCTTAGTTCTTGTAGTAATTCATAGAAATTAGTAAGTTTTATTTAAATTATTTTAAGATAGTTAATTTAGGTGAGTCAATCTAATTTTAGTTAATTCTATGATTAATTTGGTGTTAATGTGATTAAGATAGGTTGTTATTAATTTATTTGTGCTTTTGTAGGTGTTTAATAAAAGAAGAATTTTAATGGAAGAAAAAGAGCAATTATGAGGTATAGATTTTTATTGCACATATTTTGGTATTTCAACCATAACTCTCTCTACAGAGCTCCGCATGAAATGATTCTTAGATCATTGGAAAGATGAAAGAAAAAGCTACAATTTCATGTTGACCACTTCACCTAGTTCAGCTTGGTATGTGATCAAAAATCTTGTCAAAGTTGGAGCACTGCAGTAGTCTTAGAACAATTACGATTTATGCTATTTAAATGGTCAAGACCGTTGCTATGGAAGAGGTAGGCCACAGCTCACGTAGTCTAATGAGGAAATCCTAATTGGAATTTACTTCTTTCTTCACTCAATTTAGCCTAAATTCAAAGTCCTATAAAAATAACCTTTTGAAAGACCTTTAGGATATTACGAAACACCAAATTGAAAACTAAGATTTAAGCTACAAAGTCATTGATGTTGAGAAGAATTTGAAGGATTCAAGGAGATTTGGAGATCAAGATTACAATTCTTGGTTTTTCTATCTTTTTGTTATTCTCTTATTTTTTTTGTTTGTTTTTAATGTCTAAACTTTATTTGATGATAATGTGTGACTTGATGATGAACCAAATGATTTATCTAAGATCATGATTGAACTCAATACATAGTCTGATTTATTTATCTCTCGTTTATTTATGTTTTATGGAATTAAATTATTTATTTTATTTTGTTCTTAATGCTTCTAGTTGACTGTTATCAAATAGATTGAATTGGAAATTTAAGTTAAACCTTGATGAAGAAGATTTAGGTAAACCTTGAATAGAATAGCCTATGATCGAATACACTTAGTTGATTAGGTGATTTGATTTGCATAAAGGGTAAACGTACACCTATAAGCCATATGTAACCAAAATTAGAGCACGAACTTAATGAATCTGTCTTGAATTTAATTTGCTTAGACATATAGTAAATTAATTAGAAGAGATATTTTTATAAGAAACTCAATAGAGATTTGTAAATAATTTAGGACTCTAGATTAACAACTTAACCATTAAACTAAGTTAAAAGAGAGAGACAATAATTAGATGAAATATTGAGCGACAAATCTTAGGTTCGGTAATTACTATAAGTTAATATAATAATTTTGCTTAGTAAATTTAGAGTAGTTTTAGTTTTTATTTTTTTAATTCAAATTTTAGTGTTTGGATAAAATTAAGGTGTGTAATTTTAATAATTAATAGTAAGAATTAATTTAGTTCCCTGTGAGCTTTACATTATACTCATTATTATAATATCCTTGTGATACGTATACTTGCATAGGTAAAAAATTGAACAACAGCTACATAATCATAAACATATTCAATATCCATAAACATAAACATAAAATAACAAACAACTCGATAGCAAAACATGACTCGACTCTTTAGGCATCAAGTGGGCTACTAGACACCTACCAAAGGAAGATGAATGAATCATGTTTCCATGACTCGAAAGTTGAATTTTATCACTGGTTGACAAACAAAAATAATTGAAAAAAATAACGCGAGTCACAAAGACTTCGTGAGTAGATACGGGAGGGGGACAAGCTAAAAGGGAGAGTTTTTACATAAACTACATCGTTAACGTAAACATGATCTTGGGATAAACATACTTCATTTTCAAATCTTTCATAAAATAAAGTTGTCATAAACGTGTCTCAATTTTATAATGAGATCAACATTTCATAAACATAAAGTTTATTAAATAAGCTGAGCATTTATGAAAATCTATTAGGAAAAATAAAGCAGTTGTACCTTATTTATGGTGTTGGATCCTTCCTAAGGGAAATGATACTTAACCATATGAATCCAAGTTAAAGGTAGTTTGCTCCAATCTTTTCATAAATCATGTGAGTTGCTCATGTAATCAAGATTCTCCAACAAAAACCATCATAACATTTAGTGATCATAGTTCAACCTATATAACTCAAATAATCATTTTTCAATTCATTTAACTCAGTGATCAGTATTCCATCCATAAACTCAAGTGGCTATTTTTTCTTTATAATCTATAACTCAACCAATGCATTGGGACTTGTTCTATTTATTAACTCATTTTGGCTATAACATAGCTTAGAGTTTAATTATAACTCAATCAAACATCACAACACAACAAATATTCACAAAAGGCATCACAATAGCAAAAACAATATGCAATAATCATAAATGTAGGATGTCTACTAGGTCCTAGCCCATGTTTGGGCTCGTGAGCGGTATATGGACTTCACTCACGTGGAAGACCACCACCATGTAGTGGAATTTTGCCTCACCATGTGTGGAGATCGCTCTATTCGTATCACTATATGTTGGCACTACGTGTGGAATGTTACTTCACATTGTGTGGAACATTATCATCATCGTACTAGGAGCTATTCACCACATGTTGAATGTTACCTCACACTGTATGGAGTGCTATCATCATCATATTAATGGAGTTGGATCTAAGTGTATCGATGTGTTTGCATAAAGCATGGATTTAAAAAATTTTTCTTTTATAAAGGAAGCAAGCAATTCAATTATACAAGGGAAAAAACATATCATTAATATTGCAAGTAACATAATCACATCCTAAAAAATAAGAATATATTAAAGTAAGATAAAATGTACCTTTTATTACATGATTTTTATTTTCGGACATCATCACACCAACAATTGATTTCACCATTTTTAATATATATTGTCATTAATAAAATAATCTGTCACAATTAATAATATTTGTCACAAATAATTACATCCATCATAGTAAATAATGTGCAATTCCTTATTCCGTACTTGTTACAATTCAATCATCAATTTTAGTGACAATAGTACTACCACAACATCATAATGTCACCATCTCATAACATGTAACATTAACAATAATAAATTCATCACCATGGATAATTTTGATGAAATCAACCATAATATATTCAATAGTATATTTCATAAGTGAAGTTGAGTTCAATTAGATGAACAAGGACTAGATATAAAACCCAAAATGAGTCTAGTTAAGATCAACTAGATAACAAAATATATACCTAAATGAGCCTAGTTGAGATCAACTATAGATAAAAAAATATATATCTAAATAAGCCTAGTTGAGATCAACTAGATAATAAAATATATACTAAAGGAGCCTAGTTGAGATCAACTAGATAAAAAA